TGGAAATGTCGAATTTTGCCTTTGACGAATATTCAGGCCCGCCTTCACTTAGGGCGGGCACTTGGCTTGTCGGGGGCCTTAGCCCAGAACAATGTGATGTCTGATAGGGCCACTTGAGGGCTCGTTCCTCACATTGGTCTCTTCTTTCCCTTGGCACATTCTTGACCCCATGGGGGGTAGGGAAATGCTGCCGAAAATTCTAAAAAAATAAATATTATTTCTATCTTCATATTTTATTTCCTTTTTTTTTTTACTTAGTTTTATTATTTATTTATTTCCTTATTTATTTTTATTTTCTCTTGAAATCTCGTTGTTTATTTATTTTTCTCCCGCCTTCCCCCCCCCTATGCTTGCTATTTTATTTTCTTGATTAGGTCACCGGTACCCTACCCTAACCACTCAAACTCCGGTTAGGGTTTTCTTAGGGTTTTTATAGGGTTTAGGGTTCTTCAAACCCCCCCTCCTTCCTCGTCCTATTTGAGCACCCTGGACCCGAACCACCCCTCCCCCTTTGACGGCGCACGCGCTAGCCTTGCTAGCGCCGTCCACCGCTTTCTACCGCAGACCCCCCCCTACGCCCTCCGCTCACGCGGACCTCCTCTGACCCCCTCCTGTCCGGCCCGTCACCTCCCCATGGCCGACGGTGTGTCACACGCCGCTGACGCGGTGACGACCACGGCACCGGGCTCCACACCCGTGCCTGCGGACCAGGGCCATCAGCCCCAGGGGGATCTGCACACCCTCCTCACCTCCCTCCTCGCGCCCATTCAGGCACAACTCGCGATCCTCGCGCCCTTACAGGCGCAGGTGGCGACCCTTGTTGCCGGCATGCAGCAACTCCAAGACGTTGCCTGCCCTTCATCTCCTGACTCTCACTCTTCTCTTGGCTCCCAGTCTGGGTCCCCAGTTCTCCGACAAGGTGGCCACGGTGGAGCTTCCTTCTCCGCTGCCCCCGACCCGGCCATCTTGGTGACTGTCCACGCCCCTAGCACGACGGCTGCCACGGGCCAGGCCCTCCCTCAGTCTACGGGCACACCCGCCCAGATTCCGGTCACTACAGCCACGGGACCACAACCTGCTACCATGGTCTCAGCTTTTCCGGGTGCCCCGCTTCTCCCTCCCCTTCGCACGACCACAACGCCACCTGGCTCTCCCCCCTCTGGGATGCCCCGCGCTGCTCGTGCGTCCACTTCCTCCATTCTTCCTCCTGCCACTCCTCGCTCGATCTATGTCCAACGTCTCGAAGACGAGCTTGCCCAGATCCGGGCCGACCTCGCCCTCTTACGCCTTCAGCCACCCCCACCCTCATAGGTGGCCGCGCCTTCGGGCGCACCCCCTCCTTCCTCTACCCTTCCTTCCATGCAGGCTTTGCTTCCCTCACCCTGCACCCTATCCAGCCCCATCCTACCTTCTTCCTACTCCAGCGGTTGCTGCAACCTCTTCTACCTCAGCTCCCTCGCAGCCTGCCGCTGTTGCCCCCGCCGCTCCCCCATGCGGCTCGGGCGCGCAGTCAGCTGCACCCCTTTCTCCAGGACCTGCGCCGACTTACTCAGTCGTGGCACAGGCCTCTGCTCCTCGATCCCCTCGCCGCCAAAACGGTGGCACACCACTCGTCCGCTTGACGGACATTGCCTTGTATGATGGTATAGGCATACGCGTGTCTCGGTGGCTACAGTCTGCCACCCGCACCCTCCAGCTCATGGGCGCCCCACCCGACACGTGGGTGGGTCACCTCTCCACGCGCCTGCGTGGCGGTCCTTTTGACGCCTGGGAGGATTTCTACGCTTACTCCCTTCATGCGGGTCGGACTCCGACCTTCATGGATTTCCAGGCGTTCCTCAAGGATCGCTTCGGAGCCCGGCATGACGTGACAGACGCCTTCGAGCGTGTCGTCACTACACGTTGGTCCGACTCTGGTGGCGCTGCCGGCTTGGATCGCCACATCCAGGTCTTTTAGGACGCCCGCCTCATTTGTGTCGTGGCGTTCCTTCCCGAGGCTGCCCTTATCGATCGTTTCTTGGCCAGCCTTCCGCTCGAGTACCGCTCCGAGTTATGGCGGTACGAGTTCACATCAGCCCCGTTGGCTTACGAGGCCGCCAGGGACCATCAACGGATGCGGGCCCGTCTTCACCCCGCCTCCTCCTCCCAGCCTCAGCGCACTGGCTACACCTCCTCCTCCTCTCACAACACTTCCCAACGTCGTTCCCCTTTCCGCGGTCGCCCCCGCCGTTCCGCTCAGCAGGGCCACCACTTCTCGCGCCGCTTCAGCGCGCTCGAGTATGGTGAGCAGGGCGCTGTTGCCTCGCTGTCGCCCGAGGGTGACCATAGCGACGACCTCGACCTCGGCGAGGCCGTCCACTACCACCTGGAGGACTCTACTCTCCCTATGGTCGAGCGCCTCAAGCTCATCCTCTCCGCCCTCTCCCGGCCACGCAGCCGCCCCGGTCACGCTGGCGCGTCGCCCCCCGAGGTCCCTCAGCAGGACCTCCCTCAGGGCTTTGTCCCTCCTCGCGGTGTTCTTTCCGCTGAGGAGCGCGCGACCATTTTGGGCCGGCGTGGGTGTTTGCGATGCCGCCAGGACGGTCATACCTCCTCGCGGTGCACTTACACTGTCGCCCTTCACCGCCA